GGTAGCTATTGCTTTTGCATATATTTTCTTAAACTTCATTACTATCATGCATATGAACTGTGAATTTAAAAGCTACTGACATTTTTGTAATGGTGAGCTTTGAAAAACTTGCTGTTCCTTAACTTTTGGAGGGCAGTGTATTTCTTTGTGATGGCATTATTTTGTAAGTATTTCTCTTTTCTTCAGTATTTTATTTTCAATACTGAAATGTTTTATGTATCATTCAAGGTCCCCCATTAATATTGTTATTTAAATCCAAATAATGGTAATGGTAATGGAAAATTTTGTAAAAGAAAATTGATAACCTGCATCCGTCTCCCCCCTGAAAAGTTGCTAACTTATTACCAACTGATTTTTCAGCAACCTAATTTGTGAAAGGTAACAGCGGTTTTCAAAGTGGCCATGCACTAAAAATTCCAGAGCAGTGCGAGACATACCTGTAATGAAACACTCATCTGTTTCAAGAAATCTTTGTGCAACTGTTTTTTTTTTCTCACTGTTCTTCCTGTGTACACAGCAATCTGTTTTTGCTTAAAATAACATGAGAGAATTGCACTAATCTGGCACTGTACATCATAGTACAATTTCATGAAATGTGAGTATTTATATTCTCTACTGTTGAACAAAATGTCATATTTCTGAAGAAATGCAGTGCTTTCTTTTTGATTGGTCAGCAAATCCACATTTCTATTATGATTCATCAGAAAAAAAAAAAAAAAAAAAAAAAAAAAAAAAAGAAAAAAAAAAAAGAAAAAAAGAAAAAAAATGTGTACTCAGTGCAAAAACAAACATTAATCAGAAAAACAACTATCTAATTTGAAAAGTGGGAATCTTCATATACTGAAACTCATGTCTCATGCATGCAAAAACTGACTGATCAAGTCTTGCTGTGAATATTGCACATGAGTGCAATGTGTCTGGCTCATTAAAATAAATTCCAGTGGACATTGGTGTTCTCTGATGGCAATGGCCCTAATTTATTATTATTTTTTTGAAGCTGAGCAAATGAGAATGGGATGGGTAGTACATCGCAGCATAAGAAAAGTTTATGTGCGTCATAAAATTAAGAGAAAATAGTGCATAGTCGGGTGGTTCCATCCACTGCGCACCAGCGTCTTTACAAGAAAAATTACTCGTATCTTTTGAATTTAACAGAACATTAAAATTCTGTTTTTGTGATCATTTCTACCAGGCCGAGGGCTAATAAGACTTTTCTTGTAGAGATTGGATTTTCTTACACTTCTCTGCAAATTCACTGAATCTAAAAATGAGTAGCTCAGATTTTCTTCTGTTTGGAAACCAAATTTAGGCTCTTTCATCACATGTGACAAAATTTTCATGGGGAAAGGCTTTCATTTTCTTTGAAATATGTCTAACACATTTAGTCAGCTTCAAAGTCAATTTTTTTCAGCCTTAAACAAGTTGCTTTTTCTTCTTTGGGAAGTTTACAAATGTAAGCGAAGTGATTTTGGCTGCATTTAAGACATCTTGGGGAATCAGTTCAGAATGCCCATATTGTTGACAGTGGAGATGTAGTGTCCTGGTTACATCTACATATTCTAATATTCATTGTTAACTTGAGAATTGTTTTCTTCTTGTATATATATATGATTTCTCTTCAAGGAGACCAAAAAAGTACAGGAAGTTTTAGCTTCATGCCTTCTGATTTCTTAATAAACTGCGAGACTTTGATGATAGGGAAGCCTTCTTCGCAGAGTTCACCTTTGACTTCATCAACAGTTGTGTCTTCAGTTAATCCTCTAATCCCAACTTTCAGTGGGCTTCTTTTGATCTAAATGGGATAAACTTGGTATTTTATTTTTCATGGAAATAACAAGATTAAGTTATCAATTTGTGGCAGAATTAAAAACAATAGTAATTTTGTCTCTGGTCAGAGTTCTGGTATAAGTATTCACACCATATTTAGCGAATAGTTCTTTTATCTCTTTCAATTTTCCCTCCAGCCTGGCGAAAATAATAAGAGGCAGCTTTTCTTTTCCTTGCTTGGGCTTTATCTCTGCAGCAACGATCATTAGCTGGAATTTTTTCATTATTTTTTGATTTGTCATCAGTAGAGGCAATAGTAGCAAGAATATCAAACTGATTATTCGTTGAAATATTTACAGTTGGCATCTTGGCAGGAATTGGCTTCACAACTTTACTTGGAGTGATCCAGTCGTTATTCATTTTTGTTTGTGGTTGGCTGCAATTCAAATCATCGTTACAGCAGGTGACTGCAACAGCAGTTTTCTTTGACTTTTCTTTCAAGAACTTTGGTTCAATGTTAGACATTTCTTCCCCTAAACTTTTTTCCTCCTACCTCTTTTAACTAAATTTTAAGATTTTTCAGCCCTTGATTTTTGTTAATTTCATTCTTAAAACCTAAAGCAAAAAATAAGATATTTGCTTATTTTGCCTAAGGTATTTGTTTATTACTTATTGCTTCTTAAATAACTAAGTATAAATAACAGTAATTAATAATTGTAACACCGAGAAAAAATTAATCATAGAAGATTAAAGAGCATGCGTAAAATTAAAACTGGAAATTTGCATAGTAGCAAATTTTATCCTTTGGAATGCTTGTGATGCCACATGAATTCTAACCCCAAAGTGGCATGACTGCCTTTATTCAGTCTTAAAATTTTTCTCTTAGGTATATATTTTATTATTTGAAATATTTTGTTTTATTGCTTTAATGATTTAACAACTTTCTTATTACTTTAAGTAAATCTTATGAATGAAAGCTTTTGGAAAAATAGATTAAAATAGTTTATTTTGTAATTTTAACAAACGTTGTTTTATTACAGTTCTTCGTAATCAGATACAAAAAACTATTTCGCTCAGATGGTTAAATAAGAGTCTAATTGTAGGCAAGCATAGTTTTGCATTTATTGCACCATTGTGTTTTACCACATTAGCACTTAATTCATTGGTATGACACCTAGTGTCTGAATCAATGAAATGACCAGCGAAATTTACTTTGAAATATTCCATATCCCAACAGTGAAATCCATTGCAACAAAAAAAGTTAACAACTATGATTAGATTAAAAATATGGGTGCATGTGCAATAGTTGTAAAAGCAATTATTGTCGACAAAGAAACCAAACTTGCAATGCTTGAGGTTGAGGAAGTTTGAGAAAACAGAAACACCAAATGGTATATCTTTAACCTAAAAGATGTAAAAGAATACTGAGTAATGAACTAAAGATTTTATTTGTAGGACAGTGGTAAGCTACTTGAATTTTAACCAAGGGGAGGGGAGGAACTGAAAGAAGAAAATAAAATTCTACCTTAAAAAACCTTAAAAAAGAAAGCAATTACCTTAAAAAAATTACCTTAAAAGAGAACGCAATTGCTATCTAAACTTTTTTTAATCTGATTTCTACTTACAGAAGATTTTCTTATTGTATTCAGTCTTTTGAGTAACACCTTGATGACCAAATAGAAAACATTACCATAATTCAACTGCTTCATTATTGTTTATAGTTTATTTTATCAGTATTGTTATTTCTATTTATGTTGTTACATAGGGCTTTATTGGAAAGATCAATCCAAACATATAAAACAGCTCAAGTATCCCACAAGAACAATGATAAATAGTAAAAAAGAACACAGATTTATAAAGAATCAGAATAAATGAACATGGAAACAAAAGTAAAAAAATTAAACAACAAGGAAAGGAACATAAGGGATGTTGTCTTTACAAGGAGTTCGTGAAAGCTGTGGCATTCCAGTATAGTTTACTTATCTCACCACGTTTCTGAGACTTTATCTAGTTCTGGGCATATAAGAAGATGCTCTGCATTCATGATGCCTGAATTGCAAATTTGGCATATACTAGATGGAAGGATGCCAATTTTATTAAGATGATATGCCATGCAATCGTTGACCTGTTTGCAATCTGAAGTTTGCCACAGCCTCTTTGACAAAAAATTTTCCATCTGTCTGGAATGTTAGCCTAGGATTTGCCTGTTGATTTTGCTGCCTAGTCAGATTTAAGAGTATCCATTAATTTCTCAAAAATATGCTTTTTAAGTGGCTCTGGAGAAGGTGGTATGCTGTCTTGTGGCGCAAGGGTGCCTCTCTTGGCTAACGAGTCTGCCTTTTCGTTACCGCCGATACCAACATGGGAATGGATCCATTAGAAAACGATTGTTTTGTTGTGTTTATAAAGAAAGTTTATTTTATTTTAATTTTGTATATCCATCAACTTCCAACAACTTTTACTAACTGGGAATTCTTTTTTTTTTTAATTTAACCAGTTTACATGCTTTTAGTTTTTTTTTTTTTTAACCTTTAAAGTAAATCAAATTTATAATTAATTACAACATTTTAGTTCTATAAACTACAATATAAAAGCCTCCCCCCTCACCTCCTTCCCAAAAAAGGAAACTGGCCTAAATCACCCCAGAAAAAAAATCTGTAATTTGGCTAAGCCAGTGTGGCAAACTTGATATTGCTATGTGAAAAATAATAAAAACTGAAATAATGTTTTAGTATGATGTATCTTTTGGAAATAAAATGGATCCTAACACAAAATCACTCAGAGAAGTAATATACTGCAATATACTATTATACTGTGATCTCATTTATGCTTCTATTAATTTTACTAGATAGATAACCATTATAACATCATTCACATGTATGTTTTAGCATTAGTTAATATCATCATATTTTTAGGCATTAGATCTAAATTTAGGTTTCCAGCTGTAGTTCAGATCAGGCATCCTTGGAATGTTGCTGTTTTACATTTTATTGTAATCGCATCTGTTTCGTAAGACTTCATAATAAGTTGTTTTTGTGACTTAAATCTTCAGAAATTAGTAAGACATGTTTTATTGTTGTGATTGAATTTTGACTTAATTGTATGATTGTAGTTTAAAACATATAGCATATGTTATTTAGGAAAGTAATAAGGCCATTTCTTGTGTGTTTTATTATTATTAAACTGGATGCTTTATTTTTAAAATCTCAAAACATTTTCAAATATTGTTTTAGGTATGGAGAATATGATAGTTTGAATGAAATTCTCGACAAGTATATCTATACAAAAGACAAGGTACTAATAACTGGATGCGGTAATTCAAAACTTTCTGCCGATCTTTATGATGTGGGAATTTGCAAATCTGTAAGCATCGACATTAATGCTCCTGTTATAAATCAGATGAAAGAGAAATATGGCAAAGATCGGCCAAAGATGGTTTTTGAACAGATGGATGTTTTCAAAGTAATAAATTTTTTTTTGCAAATTTTCACCTTTATTTATAAATTGACCATGTTATTATTTATTTGTAAATATGTATTATTGTATTTTTTTATAATGAGTCTGTATAATGATTATTAGAAGATGAATAAATTAATGTTATTTCCTACATGAAAATGTATTTGGGAATAAATTATATATTTCATAGTTTGAGTTAAGCATTTCTTTTTATAGTAAATTTAAATAGGAATAATATCATAAAAAGTTGTAAGGATCCTTTATTGTGAAATTCTGAAATTTAGTGATTAAGTTTTAAGAACAGCTTTATGATATAGAGTGAAACCTCTTACGTGAATTATTACAGTGAAACCTTCTTCGTATAGTCACATCTGAAAGTGACAAGTATTTCTAAAATTGTAATTCAATAACAGTACTGAACATCACTGATAATCGTATTCTCTAAGGCAGTGGTTCTCAACCTTTTTTGCTCCATGCACTTCTTTCATTGCTATTAGATCATCATTCTCCCCCTCCATTCTAGAACTCAAAAACACATTTATTTAAAATTAAGATTAATTTCTCAAATCGTATATACACATTTATTTAAAATTAAGTATTTTTAATGTGGTTTGTAAATTAAACAAGGAAAACTATAGAAAATGTTGATAAATACCAAAACTTGAATGAAAGTGATTTTTCATGTTCATAAAATACAACTTAGCACTTAACAGGTAAAGAGAAGGCTGACCACATTGTCACCTAAAACTGTGAAATTCTGCTTAGTTAAGAACTCCTCCTCTAAGGCAACTACCATCACAGACCAAAATCATCTAGAACTGTGGGTACTCAGATTAAGAATATTTTACTGTGTTTTCTTGAAAAAAAAATTTTCTTTTTACTTTCTTTGAAATAGAGAAGCATTTCTACTGATATCTTCAATACACTCATAATTAATGTATTTCTACTAAGTAGTACTGTATTATACAGTGTTGCCTGTACAAAAAAATGTCAATCTTCAGTATCAGTGGCATGCTGTAGAAATGGGCCATACCCTTTGATGTGTGTGGCCATGATCTGATTGTTTTTCCAGTGACTTGGTGCTACTCAGTAAAACATTATTCCAGCCTTTTGCCTTCCTATTCACTCCTTCCATGCACATTGCATCAGAAAGATGGTGCCTGTCTTGTCATATTATCGTCAGATGAGGAAAACTGGTTTTCAGGTCATCTTGTATGTTAGAATATTATCAGTGTACTTCATCATGAATATGAATCATATGTGAATGAACGTATACCATAAATTGTTTTATTCTAAATTTGATCAGAAACCCTCCTTTTTTTTGGAAAGGAATAATCAATACATTTGTTATGTAGGAAAAAAAAAAAAAAAAAAAAAACTGATATAAAAGAGCTAAAATTTGTTAATGCCAAAATTAGCTGGAGCCATAATTTCTTAAAAAATCTATAAGGTATTTCTCCTGCCTTCTTAGTGAGCCTTTGTGGTGTAGTCGTCTGCATGCTCAGCACTTAATTGAGAGGTCCGCGGTTCGATTCCCGGCGAAGGCGTTGCTAATTGTTCAGTCTCTCTTCAGCTCTCTAAACAAATTACCTAATGTCTCTATAGTGGCACCCGAACTAAAAGGGTTGTGGATGATGATCTCCTCACCCAGGATTTGGCAATTGGGTCCCCTAAAAAACTCAGTCGCCCTTTAAAAGGGGGAGTATATAAGGTATTTCTCCCGCCTTCTTAGCGAGCCTTTGTGGTGTAGTGGTCTGCATGCTCAACGCATAATTGAGAGGTCTGCAGTTCGATTCCTGGCAAAGGTGTTGCTAATATTTCAATCTCTCTTGCTTCCAAAAAATCCTAATGTCTCTGCAAATCTTTAAAACTTTAAACTAGTAACTGATATTAAAATCAATAATATCTTAATATTTGTAAAGGTAAACTTAATGTTATTTCTCTCTTGTGCCTTAGTATTAAAATCAAAGTAAATTTTTCAATGATAATTCAATTTATTTCATTTCAAGAACTGCCTATTTCAGTTCAGATCTAAAGTGTTATTCCTGTACCTTATGTAAAAGTCACTCCATCATACATTTTTGAAAACACACAAATTAGAAACTATAATAAATAATTTTTTCCCAAACAAGAGATAACTTATATCCAAATATAAATGTTTAAATTACTTTCATAGAAATACAATAACACAAATACCTGAATAGACCAGGGCTGTGGAGTCGGGCAGGTTTTGGGGTAAAAGGAGTCAGAGCTGGAGTCGCTAAAAAATACAAGACACACTTCACAAGACAAGACACTGGAAGCAATAAGAAGCCATGCATATCCAAAACCAGGGCTATTGAGTTGGAGTCGAGTATATTTTTGGGTAAAAGGAGTCGGAGTCGCTAAAAAACACATCGACTCCGACTCCAGTTTTTGTCGGACAGTTTAAATTTGAAATGAAACTAAAATGAATTAAAAAAAAAAAAAAAAAAAAAATTATGACGAGCTGAGTTATTATTTTTATTTATGGACTATATACATTAATAATTATTAATTTTCTACTTTATTGAAACATTAATAAATAAATATAAGGGAGGAGAATTGATGTGATATTTGTCATTAGTGATTAAATTGATTCATTTAGGTACAAATTTCACTGGTAAATTTAGGTAAGCAGCAATAGCAGCAAGAACTCCAAAATTGATGCCATTCTTAAGAAACGAGTAGAAAAAGGAGCAATTATTGATCAAGCAACACAATAAGGAAGTACATAATTTGATGATAAAGAGGTTGTTAGAATTAAGAACTTTTTTAGAAGATGTAGATAGCCCTAATGTTTCGTTAACAAAAAGACTGTGGAATGATCTTGCAGAATTGGAAACTTTTCTTTTTACACCGTATATAGCCACAAAAAAGCTACAATCTGAAGAATTGACAGGAGGTGAGAATGGAAGAAGAATGCAGAAGGAATTATTTCTTCAATGAAGAAAAGAGAAACTAGTTTGCTAGGCAATGAGAAATCATTGGTTCTGTCTGGGTTTATCATTGGTTCTGTTCAAATCAATCTGGGTTCAATATATGTAGATCCGAAACACTCACTTTTCTTGGATGATGAACAAATTAAAAACACCAAGAAAGCCATCTATGAACTTTCATTAATAATGAAATTATTTTCAAAACAATTGGAGGATTCGAATCAGGACAGTCAAACTGCAGACATTGCAATTAAGTCTGTACCATCTTCTTCCAGTGATGAATTAGATTTTGAGAAATATTTTTGGATAATATTGAAAAGACTAAAGCAAAGCGAATGAAAATAAAGAACCAAAAGCCTTTAGATATAAAAGTGAAAAAATACAAACACGATTTCTACACAGCCTTTAAGAAATAGAGAAATATGATTGCACCTGCAAGACACCTCTTTTAGAACTTACAAAAATCTATCCTGAAAAGTTAAAATAAGCAGCCCTAACAGTAACAGTTCTTCCTCCTACTCAAGTTAGTGTGGAAAGACTCTTCTCAGCACTGAAGTTTATCAAATCGGATCTATGGCTTTCTAACAAAGAAGATCTTGCCGAAATTATACTGTTTCTTAAAAATAACTAATGCCAGTTTTTCCATTTCATAATAAATGCTAATTAACCCATCAATGAGCCCGCCTCTCGGAACGAAATGCTTTGAAAACGGCCGCGTTGTCAGACAACAAACCCCTCCAAAAAAATCACTTTCGTTTTCTGAAATCTCTCTAAGATGGCTCAGCCTAAGGCAGTATGTTTGCTTCCCCTTAGTGTGATGGATAAGCCATAAAATTGCCTCCCCGCTATTGAATGGCCTTGTTCGTTTCGTTTCGTCTCCCCTCCTCTTTCTTTGTACTAGTAGCCTGTAGACTTGTTTCTTTTAACATGTGACGGCCGAATTTTCCGAAATCTTTTTAGAATTTTAGCTTCCAAGCTTGTAAATTTTCAATTATTCGACATGTTTTATTGGGCAGTATTTTAAGAAAGATCATTATTTATTTTGTTACACAATTTTTTTACTATTTACTTATCTATTTTATTTAGTTTTAGTAGGCCAATTTATTTTTGGAAATTAAATTTTAATCCATTCTTTTACCGACTCAGTTTTCATCACATTATAAGTCCATATATATTTACGATGAGAGTACAATATTTATCAGGAATTTTTGGAAAATTTGGCATACGTATTTATATTTTAGCGTTGAATTTTTTCCACAAGTTGTTCGTTAACAGTCGAGCTCATCCTCGTAAACGCTTGATCTTTTAAGCATGGAAATTGGCAAGCAATAATCTTCCTAATATTTTTCGGGATTTTATAGCAATTTCTAGAATTTTGGCGGTTTTCTACAAATATTTTGGGTACGTTTAGCTATTATACAGTTGCTACTAATGTGGAATTTAAAGCCAAAAATGTATTCCTTCGTTGATTTGAGAGATCGCATTTCGAATTTAAACGGAAGTTTAAATGAATTTGATACAATCTTAGCACAGACTAGAAGAATTATTTCTCTGTGTTGGATGGATTTTTCTCACTTTTCTTTTTCTGCATTTGATAGATTAAATGCATAAAGCAGACACTCACAAATAGAATTTAAATAAAATTTAAATAAATTTCTATTTTCATTTAAAATTTGTCATTATTAGCACCTCCCGCAGTTTTATGCAATCATAGGATTTTCCGAATTCTATTAGGTCGTTAACAATTTCGGTGAATATGGAAAGTACTAATAATAATTCAAGGCCGAATAGAAAAATGATAATGGAAGACTATGTCTTAAGTACCAATAGCCAAGTATTTGTAATTAAATAAAAATAAATATTGAATACCAGCCGCTTTTTTATTTATTTTTAGTCATATAACAAAAGATAAACAAGAATACTATTACATCTAAGAATTATTTAGTAAATTATTTTGCTAATGTTTATATGAATGATGGAAACACGGTAAAAATGTTTTAATTAATGATTGAATTCACCGTTAAAAATCAAACAAACCCCAAAATTCCT